GAAAAAAGCCCTGAGTTAAAAAAAAAAAAAAAAAAAAAAAAAAAGCACCATAAAGCCCGGGCACTTTATTTTTGGTACAAGTCAAGTGCAGAGGTGCACGGATTGGTATTGTGTATAAAATAAGCTGAGTTAGGTAAACTGTCTCACAAGCCTGTTGAAGACATTTTGTCAAATATAGTCTGGTTTCCCCAAAACAGCCTTCAATTCTAATCTTATTTAAGATCAAAACAGCAACATATCACAATATTCAAACCTAACTGTCCTGGGAAGACAGAAGAAACAGGTGCTAGCAAAGCCCAAGAGTCTGGGACCACTGTACACAGGAACAAAAACTGCTACTGACCTCAATGAGCTCATTAGTTATAATATGTAATATAGTATATATGATAACTGAAACTTTATTTGATGATTCAAGATTATAAAAGAAAGAATAAATCATGTTCCATAAGTTGTTTACTGGAGCAGTAAAAGGTATATATTTTGGAAACAAAAGTACTTTAAAAAATGAGGCTTTGGTGTTTAAAGAGAGATAAATCTGTTAATCAGAAAATTAACTTACGTAGAATACTTAACTCTAATAATGTTAAATAAGTTGAGACACAAGTGACTGGTATTATGTAGGGTCTATAAACAAAAATGATACAGGGATTTTGGAATAGTTTAGTCAGGTCCTTCGCCTCAGGGCAGGTTGGGGGTTGTGCAGCACATTCTTTGTGAATAGGTTGTGTGTGGGTGGAGTTGGTGCGCCTACGCAGCACCGCCACCTTGGCTGGCGTCTGCCTGGGGCATCCACTGCTCTCTGCAGCCATGCTTTTGAACCTACGGCTTCCAAGGACCGGTTATCTAGCTCACAGACCTGCATGTGAGGGGTCTGGTGACCCAGCCTGGCATGTGAAGAGTCTGTGAATGGGCTTGAGGGGTCTGTGAGCACCAGACCCAGCCCTAGCTTGACAACTGGCCCAGTCGGTGCAGGATTATGGGCAGGTAGAAGAACACAATTGGCACCGTGAGCAGGATTCTGACGTTAGCTGTAGTGCCACAAGGGATAACCAACTTAAGTTCAGACCTAAGGTTTTCTTAGAGTACTCAGATGAGAAACAAAAACTAAAATGCTTTAATTAAAAAAACAAACAAAAAACAGTACATAGGATATCTTCCCCTGTCTGATTTCTTACCACAGAAAAATTCTTACTAGGAATTTAATTTCTCAATCATTTTATCCTGAAAGGATGAGAAATATATATAGAAGACTGACATTAATTCGAATTATTAATAGACAAAGTGCTGAAATACTTTCAATCATCCCAAATACATTTTAGTTAAGAGCCTCTTCTCCTTTCAGGTTACTCTAAATACAAAAGGAAAAATAATAATAATAAAAAAAATTAAATCTTTAAAAAACCCCATAAAACCCACTGTGCTATAAAAGATAAGGATAGTGAAATCCAAGGAGAAAACAAAATATGGCCAAAAGTACTTCCATACTAGAAGAGCTTTTTCCCCTTACAGTTTGAAGAATGAAGCCTAGAATACGTACCTAAAATACTGGCTGAATGCTGCTAGGACATTCTTATGAGCTTTAAAGCAGACTCCTTTCACCACCAACATACAGTCACAAAGCAGGCCTTGAATACGCTGCTCGTGCAGTTGCTGGAGGAGGTGGCAGCTGTGCGTAGCAACGGGGTCCATGCTAAACCATTCAAGAGACCTACAGCAGAGAATGCAGATTGATCAGACATTCTTAATGACATCACTGGAAACTAAATGGCACGAAAACCCACCGAATGACTGGTGCTTCACTGTCATAACTCTCTAACACAGTTATGCACAAACATACCCACCCACACGCAAAACTGTTTCTGAAGCATCTACACCAGTGCTATTCAATAGAACTGTCTGCTGTGATGGAAATGTTCTCTGTTTGCTCTGTTAATCCAGTAGCCGTCAGCCACATGTGGCCAGTGAGTACTTGAGATGTGGCCAAGGAACTGAAACTTTAATTTTATATTTAAATAGCCAGCATATCTGACAGTGCAAACCTAGAATATGATCTTAATAGTACTATATGTACGTCTCTTGTGTCTACTTAGGAATACATTGAATTAAAAAAAAAAACAAACCAAAAACCACATACGTAAACATATATAAGGTTAAAAGAAAATAAAAAGCCAACTGGTGAAGATAATATCTGTATTTATTGAACACCTGTATAAAGGTCATGGATTCAGAAATTGATGGAAATTAGGAGCCTATTTGGGGAGATAAGGTACAAGTCAAAACAACTACCACCAGACAATGATAAAAGAGGCATCACAAGCAGCTTGTCCACTCATTCCTGCCTTCGTGCCTCTCTAAGATGCTACTTTAGCAGAGACCTGAGGGAAAGAGTGGGCGGGTATGTGGGGCAGAAACACCAGCAAGCATGAAGTCTCTGAGGTAGGGACTTGCTGGGCTCAAGAGTGGCTGAGTCAGTGGGAGGAGATGACTGAGGGTCAGGTCATGTTGAGCCTCACAGGCCCTTTCAAAAACCCTGACTCTGACTCCAAATGAGACAGGACACATGTGGATAAAGTTTCATCATTCAACATCTATTTATTGACTGATTCCTGCGTACCAGGTTCTAGGGCAACCACAATGAACAAAACATGCCTGGTCCCTCCTGCATGAGGCTTAATTTCTAGTGATAGAAACACACAAAAAAGTGCATGACGCACAACTAAACACAATAGTTACTGCTAGACAACAGAGCACACAGATGAGTGAGACGTGGTCTCTGGCATCCAGGAGCTCAGTCTAGCAGGGGATGACTTGTGGAAGATGAAGAAATGAAATCAGACTGGGACAGGACTAATGGAGGTTAAAATGGCAGTCGGGTACACTGAAAATCTAAAAAGTCAATACCTGCTTTCTCTGCTCTCATTCTCACTGTGTATGCATTACTGAAAGAGTCACTCACGACACCTCAAAGCCAAAATCTAAGCTTTTTAACATGGCCCCTACTTCTCCCCTAGCCTTATCTCCTATGATTGCCCTTATGTGCCGGCCAAAGAGAAGTAGCTGCGGCTCCCCAAACAAGCGATATTCTTGACGGATGGGATGGAGCCCTAGCTCCACCACTCATTAACTACGTGACTTTGGCCAAATGACTTCTCTGTGTCCCACTGTCCTCATCCTACCTCACAGGTTATTGTGACGACCTAATTAGCATCTGCAATATATAAGTATTCAGTAAACGTTATCTATAGGATCACCTGGGGAACTGGTTAAAAATGCAGATTCCTGGGTGCCATCCCAGAGTTCTGTTCTGTCAGTCTAGAGTGGTGCCTGGCTCGGTATCCGCATCATAAGCGTCTGGGCAGTTCTAAAGCAGGTGGACTGTAGACCTCTGCCTTGCAGTCTCCCCCAAAAGCCTTTGGTTCTGATACTCCCTGTCCTGGGAATACTTGACTCACCCCGACCCTTCCACCTTCCAGATCAGGGCGCAGCTGAGCTGTCACCTACTGTCCTGCTCCTCAGAACGTGCTCCCTCCTCCCCACTGTTCCCTCCTTAAGTCTGACTTTGGGGTTGCTCCTCTGTGATCTCACAGCACCGCATACATACTCCGTAAGCTAACTCATCACAGCATTCCTCTATTTGTGTTTTTTTGGTGGCTGACCAGTACAGGGCTTGAACCCCGGACCTCATTGTTACCACTACCACACTCTAACCAACTGAGCTAACCAGCCAGCCCTGCTCCTCTATTTGTGTCTCCAACTCTGCTGTGAGCTCTGAGGGTACCATCTTACTCATGTCTGCCTGTGACAAAGCAGATTCTCAACCATTAAAATGCATGCTGGCTCATCTCTGTTGGCTAACTGATGCTGGTTAGTAATTTTTTTTAATTTACACCTTTTTGACTCCTTCCTTCTACATTCCCTACAGTGGCTATTCTAAATCCTTCACACGGTCTTCATTCCTGCCACATCTGTCTGCTTCACCCATGACAATGACTGTGACTTCACTGAGACAGTTCAGCTGTGTACAACTTAATAGAACCGAAGTGCCTTTCATTACTCAGTTCTAAATTTCCCTTCACCCCCGCCTCTTTCCCTTTGACTTCACAGGATGAAGTGTGCCTCACCCTTTCCAAAGCAAACTTCCCTTCTCCCTTGATCCTGTCCCTTCCTGCCTCCCGCAGGACCTTGCTTCATCGTCCTCCTTTCATCACTTCACTCTGTCCTCCTGATGGCCCATGGCCCCTGCAAACACACCAAGATGTTGAAAACAAAGCAAAACAGGATAACGGACAAAACCTGCCCCTAGGTAAGTCATTCATCACAGGCCTCTCTTTCACTTTTCAAGATGGCAACTCATGCCTCACTTGACTTTCTCACGGCTCCTTTCCTTCCCTGCAACCTCGCTGCCATTCTCTGTGCTGAAATGGACTTTCCCATGATGAAGGTCTCAGTCCTCAACTACCTGCCACAGCTTTCCTGCAACACAAGGCAGTGTAGTCTGCCAACCCCATCCTGAAATTCCTCCTCCCCCAGAACTCTTGTGGCACTCTTCCTACGTCCCTGATCTGTCCCATCTCTATGCTGTACCTCTTCACCCTCAAGCCATGCTAATGACATAGTTCCTTAAGATGTAGCACCTTACCCCTCTTCTCTCTCCCTTGACAATCACATTTATTCTCGGTTTCACCTATTCTAAGTAGACAACTCCTAAATTTGAAACTTTAGCTTCAGCCACCAGTTCCAAATCTCTAACTCTCTGCTAAACATATCCAGTGGCATGATCCCTCATCTTAGAATCATTAAAACTCATCCCCCATCATCTCACCCCTCAAACCTATACATTATTCTTATTTCTCTATTTCTTTATGAAGCTTAGTTTCTGAAATGTAGAGTTTGAAGTATTGGCATGATGTCCTGGCTTGAGACCAAGGTGGGATTCAGAGAATACTGGACTAGAGGTGATGTAATATACAAACAGCAAGTGCTGGGATGGATAATACTGTCCCAAACAAGAATACAGAAAGGAAGGCATGCAGGCGGTGGTCCTCAAGGGTAGGAAACAGTCAGATGAAAAGTAGTCAGTTATCGAACCCTGCCCCACTGATCCCCTGAAAACGCTTCTTGGTTTATTATTATTTTATTAGCTATCATTTACTGACCACTTACTACAGGCCTGTGCTAAGTCTATTGCATCCATTAACTCAGACAATTCAACAAGAACGCAATTATCGCTATTGACAAGTGAAGAAATCGAGAAATAGGGAGTTTAAATAACTTGTCCAACATTATAAAACTGTTATGTGCCAAAGCCAGGATTTGAATCCTGGTTCCTAAACCCCAGAGTCTTATGCTACAAAATCTTCCATGGGAAAAGAGACATCAAAAACCAAAACACAAAACCTTTTTCCACAGACTTAAATGTAAAAATGCAGCAAATATTCTGAATATACATTAGACATTTTCTAGCTCTACAGAAATGATAAAGGAAAAAATTATCCGGAATGACCCCGAGTTATGATAATATACAAAGTTAAGAACTGTTCTACGATTTACTTTTACTACAAAAATTATAACTATTCTATTTTGTGTAAGTTCTCTAAATTACTTCATGATGTCAATCCTGTACCACCCCGATAAGGTTATACAGCTGGAGCATCCCTAATCTGAAAATCTGACATTCATTGGATCATTTTGCATTTTGGATTTTTGGATTAAGGATGCTCAACTTGTATAAAGTGAGTATTCTAAAATCCAAAAAAATCTGAAATCCAAAACACTTCTGATCCTAAGCGTTCAGATAAGAAATACTCAACCTGTAAAAAACTCTGGAAGATGAATTTGTATCTTTTATTTCTTATGTGTCCTGTAAATAACAACTATAAATAATAATGCATACTGTACCTAATAATAATAATTATGACAAATATTTATAAAATGTTTCCTATATACCAGGCACTATTCTAAGCCCTTTACACTTATTAAGTCATTTAACCCCCATAAATAACTGTAAGATAGGTACTGCTATTATCCTTATTTTACAGATGAAGACAATGAGAAACTTGGTGATTTAAAGATGGCCACAAATTCTTTGATGATCCTCCCATGGGATTGTGAGGTCTAGGTCTCCTTCCCTTGAATCTCAGCAGCCTCTGCCTTCATTAGTAGAACACAGTGAGAGTAAGACTATATACAGCTGCGCTTATTTACGGGCCCAGGCCTTAAGAGTTAACAGCTTCCACAGTGTTCTTTTGGAGCACTGGCTCTGGGAGGCCTAAGCCACCTGTAAGATACCCAACTGGAGAGGACACATGAAAGGTAGAAGGCTCATCTGGTCCCAACCAGGCCCAGCCTTCCAGCCATCCCTTCCCAAGGAAGCCATTTTGAACTCTCCAAGGCAGCCCCTTCTCCAGCTGAATACCACTGAGTGACTCCAGGGGTCACCACGTGGAACTGAAGAATTGCCCAGTTGACACTTGCCTGAATTCTTAACACCCCAAACTGTGAGATAGAATAGTTTTTAACTCACTAAGTTTGAGGGTAGTGTGTTGCACAGCAATAGATAACCTGACCAGGTCCCAGGCCATTGTAGTTTCAGCCAGGAACAGGAATACCCCAACCCCCCTCCCTTATGAAGACTGGTATGGAAGCTTCTGTACCCCATCGGGTTATTTGAAAATCACTCTCTTGAGATCACCCTATGCATTGCCTTTCCCCAGCATATTAAGATAACATTTATGCCCTTTTCTTCATATTAATCTGAGTTTGCCAGTTGACTTTTTTAGTGGAGCTTCAGAGGGCAAAAGGGAAGTTCTTCCCTTGGCGGCATACACAAACAAGAATGAGGTACATAAAGGAGCCCTGCACACACAAAAAACTCCTCTAGCACTGATTTTAAACCTCTTGACTAGTCTGTCACTTCTGTTGGAAAATACTTGCCCCCTTGTTCATTCTGATGAGTTCCTTCTGAACTGCGTTCCCCCAGTACCTCAGAATGTGACAGTATTTGGAGATGAGGCCTTTAAAGAGGTAATTAAGTTAAAATGAGGCCATTAGGGTGGGTCCTAATCCAATATGACCGATGTTCTTATAAGAGGAAATTTGGATATAAAGAGAGACATCAGAGCACAGTTATGACCACTTAAGGGCACAGCAAGAAGGTGGCCATCTGCACGTCAAGGAGAGAGTCCTCAGAAGAAATCAAACCCGATGACACCTTGATCTTGGACTTCTAACCTCCAGAACTGTAGAAAAATACATTTCAGTTGTTGAAATCACTGGTCTGTGGCATTTTATGGCAGCCCTACAAACTGATACATCATGTATTCCAGGCTCACTTCCACAGTGAAAGTGAGTCTTACATTTATTGAGCACCTACCAAATGCCTTATCACCCACACACACGCACTCTGGGGTTAATGTTTCCCACAATATCCCGTTCAACTTTCATTCACCCATTTAAGCAATAAACACTTAGTGACACCCACCTGCCAGACCCCGTCTTAAGGGCTGACAACAGCTAACGTTTCTTGAGCACTCGCTAAGTGGAGCACGGCCGCTCAGACCCGTCGCCATCTTTCCAGTGTATCTTTTATTTCTTATGTGTCCTGCCAGACCCCGTCTTAAGGGCTGACAACAGCTAACGTTTCTTGAGCACTCGCTAAGTGGCAGACACGGTGCTGAACGCTTTACGTGCACCAACTCATGACATCCTACAAGGTCCCGACGAAGGAGGCTGTTCTACAGAAGCGGACCTGAGGTACAGAGAGGTCACACCGTCCCAAGGCGGAGCTCCGGAGGCTGAAGCACTTCACAGTGTGACGGAGGTGAACGGGAACCCGGAGAGGGGCAGCCCGCGGTGGGGAGGGGTGGGCATGCTGCGGGCAAAGGCTGGGGACGAGCAGGAGGCCGAAGACGACGCGGCTGGGGTTTCCAGGCCGAGGGAGCTGCACGCCGGAGCAGGCTCGGCTGCTAGGCCCGGGAGCTGTCCTTTGCTTCTGTCACCGTCCGCTCCAGAGCCCTCCGAGGCCGCTCCATGCCCCCCGCCACCTCCTCTCCACCTGCCACCTCCCTCACCGCCGCTGGCCGGGACCCGCCTGCTGCGGAACCATCCCCTCATATTATATTATAATTCTACTTTTCCACAAGCGATTTGAAGTACCCTCATACGCGTGTGTGTGTGTGTGTGTATGACATAGACCTACCTATTTGTGATGTGAAAAAACAAATCAGTTTCTTCAAACTAGGCTCCAAGCTCCACATCAGAATCAGCTAAAATAAATTGCAAAACCCACTTTTTCTCTCCACTATATGACCAATCTGTATGGATGAACAGTTATAAGTACAGACTTATATTATGTATACATGGTAACCATACATTTATTGGAAACTTTAGTACAATAGTGAGTTGCAAATCTTCTCTACAACTCTTTCAGATGTTATTTGTAACACATGGCTTTTAAGAACCATTAGCTAGAATTACTTTTGATGTAAATTGTTTTTTCAATTATTTTCTTTTCCTAGATCTTCTTAGAGTCACAAAAATCTTTACACAATCCTCTTGTTTAAAACAAGACTTAGATAGAAAAGTAATTTAGATGCTTCTACTAAAGATGTTCTTAAAATATTTCTAACACTTAAAAAAAAAAGAGTTCACAGACTTTGCCCAATTTCCCTTTGGAGCATTTATGCATGATTTGGATTTTATTTGGTACACCTACTCTAACAGCAGGAATTCTTAATACAGGAGTATATTTAGCAGCCACTTTGTGAACAGCATGAATAAGGAATAAGCATGACCTCAAATTAAAATATTAGCACAATACTCTTAGCACCCAAAGGCAATGTGGGAGCCTTTGGCTCCAGATTCCATGAATGGTACCCAGCAATATTTCAGGTAACTAATTGAAGTCAAGTCTACGTCGAAAAGCAAACCCATGGGATAAAAAGGTATCAGACCACAAAGCAGAAGCAAGGAATTATGACTCAATTCACTCCATCCCAATCCACATAATTTGAACAAACAGCTTAAACTGCAGTGTTTTTTAAATGGAATAATATTTATCACAAAATTGATTATATTATTTCAGATTTCAAAGTGCCAAGACTGAATTTTATTTAAATTTAAAAATTTGATGTTATTTTTTAAAATTCTCTTGTCTATACATGATTTATTTTCCAGACACGTATTTCAACAACTTATAAAGTACTATTTAGAGAGGGATTTAGGGGCAGCTTTCTTCTTCACCAGAAGGTAAGATCTGGAAATACATCAGTCATTGGTGTCAATTAGTGACAGTTCAAATTGCCAAAGGTATTTGGCAAACTTTAATCGCTGTCAGAACTGTAAAGGTTACTGAGCAGCTTCAGTACAAATCAATTACAACAGTGTTACACAAATGTGAGAGCAAGTGTGTGTGTAAGTGATACGTATGTGGGTGTGCTCATTCATGACAGTTGAATTTTCTGATATATCAGCATTACGTTCAGTTACATATAACAATAACAATGGCAAGAACAATAACAACACTGAAAAAGTAGGAGGTACGTTTATTCGATTTAGGTAGTCCAGAGCTGTGCTTAGCTTCCTGATAATCCTCCCTCCTTAGTGTCACCTCATCTCACAGGATGGCTGCTTGCATGCTAGTCATCATATCCATATAACAGGAAAAAGAAAAGGAAATAAGAATGGAAATCTCATTCTCTTTGAGGATATTTCCTAAAAGTTGCATATAATCCTTGGTTCTCATTGGTAAAAATTTGTTCATATGACCATAAGCATAGGAATCTAGACTTTGAGCTGAGCTGCAAGGTAGTCAGCTAAAATTTGAAGTTTGGAAACAGGAGGAGAATACAGTGGGAACAATTTTTTTTTTCACTTTAAAAAAACATTAAAAGATCCCTTAGCTTCCTAGAAACTAAAAATAATAGACATTCCAATCAAATAATCAAAATAAACACAATTATTTACTGTAATGTAAGCAGAAGAGTTAAAAGAGTTCATTAAATTTTCACTTTTATAGAGAATACTTTGCTGGCATTCATAAATATAAGTGAAGAAATATTTCTATATATCAGAAAACATCCAAATTTTAAAAATCGTATCATTACATTTTAATGAGAAAAAGAGAGGAAGGCAGCTGATTAATTTTTTTAAATGACAAAAGTTAACTTAGAAATAATTTCAGTCCACTCCTAAATCAGAATTAATACTCTCAGTTGGGAGTTATGCTGTCATATTTGAGAGCCACTGATTTGAACATAGTATTTCTGGAAATGATTTCTTTTTAGTAATTACTAACAGTTTATGAAAAGATCTGCAATTTTATTTGTTCAAGTGTTCAAGTAATCTTAACTCATCAAAATGCTAAAATCTTTTATATCAAAGTCAGCTAAGACTTACTCATGTAAATGGCCTGCCTATTCCCTGACAGCTGGAAGCTCTTAGGCTGATCTGCAGCCTCAGCCCCACCCCAAGCAGGGGGACTCATCTGGCATCTCAGCAGGATCCTTAGCTCATTGTCCAACTTTAAGCTACACTCCAACCTGGCAACAAGATTTGAGTGGCAGAGCCTCTGTACTTTGCTTGATGTGAGGCTTTTCTCACATGACGTTCTTCAGAAATACTTCCACAGTATACTGAATGGTCAAGACTGGGGATGAAACTTCCATAAATACTTATAGAAACCCATACCTTATCAAGTAGCTCTTTAAACTGTTTGTTTGAATATCCAATCATTTATTTAATAAACCAACAATGAAAGGTTACTAAAAGACAGGCACTGGAAAGATCAAAGGCACAGTCACCTGCCCTCTAGTGGGAGACACAGCTATTATTGTCAAAATGATAATCCTTACAAATAGTTAGATTCTGTTGCCAAGGAATTTCCATCCATTGTTCTTGAGTCTGAACTCAAGACTCAAACAGTCACATTGGAATCAGTTCCACTTAAACCTACACAGATTCACCCTACAACATGGAATATTTTGAACAGGATCATATTTCCGCCAACATCCCAACCTCCAATGCACCCTCTGTATGCTGAAAATAACCTTCATTTAATATCATACACACATTGTTTTATTCTCTTCCTTGAGCTTTTAAAACCCTGTCCCTTCAATTATTAAAAGAAACTGTTTTCAGTCTTCACTCTCTTTTGGGATAAATTCCAATTTAGGAATAGCTTTCTTAAAATGCAGTATTGAGAAAAGAACACAGTAACAGAATATGCCCTGTTATGTCCTATGCCTGCTTAACAAAGCTTAGTTATTTCATCTAGAGTAGTATGTCAGAATTCGTAACCCAACCCTGCAAAATGCTGCAAACCAATTTAAGGATCTTTTCAGATCATTTTCGAGCTGGTTTTGATTTTAAGTTCTGGAAATTCTAGTTCTCTTAGCTTTGGTACCTTCCTGTAAGGTTCCATCTGTGAGGCAGTCTGGTGTAGCGGGTACTACAATGGGGTTCACTTACTGCTCCCTACTTACTACATTAACTTGACAAAATCACTTTAATATTCTGAACCTTAGTTATCTGATTACAAAACCATGAAAAAAAGGGTCCTTACCCCTTATGGTTTTTGAAGGTGATATCAGCCAACATCTATAAAGCACATTAATTGCCACAGAGTAAGCACTTAACATGTAAAATACCAATTTAGTAGCTCTCTTTTTAGTCATGAGTGATTCAAGTATCTTTGGAATATCCCATCCAAATTGGACTTTAAGTTATCTTAAAGTTATCCAGTACAGGGCCGGCCCGGTGGCGCACTGCTACAGTGCGCCGCTTGGGAAGCGCGACGGCGCTCCCTCCGAGGGTTCGGATCTCACGTGCAGACCGGTGGCTCACTGGCTGAGCGAGGAGCGGGGGCAACACTGAGGGTTGCGATCCCGTTGCCGGTCACGAAAAAAGACAGAAAAAAAAAAAGTTATCCAGTACTGCCTGGTTATTCAATTTAATTCATTAACCACCCAATTTGTATTATGTTTTGTGTTGGGTGCTACTGATTAAAAAATGACTTGTGTCCTAAAGCCAAGAAGCCCAAAGTGTAGTAAGAACCTGATTTGTATAGAAATGGTTACTCCGTGATCACACAAATAGGGCTTGATAAGGCAACATTCCTGTGACCCATCACTTTAAATTCCATTCTGGAATATAGTGCTCCTCACAGCATTTAAGGAGCATTCAATAAATATTTGTTCATGAATGGATACAGGTTCCATACTCAAATATTTTAGGCAAATAGTAATGCTGACATTGTTCAAACATAGTATTCTAGTTTTGGATTTTATGAATTAACTCACTTCCATCTTGAACTAAATTCATATACATTTGCTATTTCTTATTTCTTGGAATTTAAGAGATGATGAAAAGGCACCAGTAACACCTCCTAGAAAAATTATCTAGAAAGCTGATTACACTGGGTTAGATAAACACATACTTATAAAATATTATGTCCTCTTTTTTAGAAAGTAGAAATGGAAAATAATGGTTTGAAGGTTATGCACCAAACTATCTAAAAATTATTATCTCTAGTGAGATCATGAGA